GACACATAACCAGGAACGCATTGGTAGTTTTGACCTTATGTTGAAGAACTTAAGAGGCATGTGCTGTAAGATTACTGTCTATATATGGGGAATGACATACAGGGAAGCTATCAACCTCATGTATTTTAATCACTAAATCAAGCCTATCTTAAACACCCCATTCCATATATGATCTTAAATCTCTTTATTTTCAGGGGATGTGGTTGGTTTAGATTTTATAGCAATCACCTTTCCCTTTCATATTCGCATCACACATGCAAGTTGACAGTCCTTCACTATCTGTCCTTTCTTGCCCCTTTTTAAAATGGTACAAGCATAATCTCAGGGATCAGAACAACTTTTACTTGCAGTAATCTGGGTTAACTTCTCAATTCTCACATTTTTGTTCCCTGTGAGATGATCTGGGTGTGGCTATGAAAAACTTCCTTTTTTAGGGGAGTGGGAAGGATACCATGTTTTTCTTTTTTTAAAAAAAAAATTACTAGATCTCCGGCAAGCCTATAATTGTTTGCATTCAGAATAGATATTTAACATTTGCTTTCACTGAAACTCTAGGAAAGATAAAAAGTACACCTCTCACCTTTTGAGAAGCTTGTTTTGAAAGTCCACTGTTGTGGGAAACTGATACTGATTATATAGAATTGTGGGAAAGGAAATAAAAAGAAGATTGGCATTATAGTTTTATTTGGTTTAAAAGATACAGGAAATCCCTTGATAGCAGAGGTCAGAAGCATTTGTATATTTTCAAGGCCATCAGCAAAACACTTGGATGGCTAGTATTGCATTCAGTATGTGAGGCCTGGTAGTGAGGCCACACCTGGAATATTGCTTCCAATTTTGGTCACCATGATACAAAAAAAAAAAAAGATACTGAGACCCTAGAAAGCATGCAGAGAACAGCAACAAAGATGATGGAGGGCCTTGAGGCTAAACCATATGATGAACAATTGAAGGAACTAGGTATGTCTAGTCTAACAAAGAGAAGGATTAGGGGTGACTTGATAGAAGTCTTCCAATACTTGAAGGAGAGCCACAGAGTAGAGGGGGTTGACTTATTCCCCAAAGCATCCGAGGACAGGACAAGGAGCAACAGGTTAAAGAGAGAGCCTACTTGGAAGTAAAGAGAAATGTCGTAGCAGTGAGAGCAATAAACCAATGAAACAGCTGGCCTCCCAGAGTTGGTGGATGCTCTATCACTGGAGGTTTTCAAGGAAAGTTTGGAAAACCGTTTGTCCAGGATGGAATAAGGACCCTTGAACTGGGTAGCAAGTTGGACCAGAGGCCCATGCCTATGATTCTAAGAAAATAATGTGAACATTGGCTTCCCTTAATCTCGCATGCTGCCCTCCTCTGTGGCCAGTCTCCTTTTCTCTCCTTTCATTCCACTGTTTGCTTTATTCTCATTCTTCTTTTGGCATCTTCCCCTTTAATAGTTCTGTCTTCTAGCTTCATAGCAGACATTCTATATGCTACAATTAGTTTCATTCCTCCTCCTCCTCCAACCCTTTCTTCATCACAACAGCTTAGCCAACAGCTAGCAGAAAAGTCAAGATGAGAACAGGAGGATAAGAATAAGAATCTTTTTACCAACAGTGACAGGAAGATAATATTTTTTACCTCACAGTTTTTTATGTCACTGTTTACGTCAAGATTACAGTTACATCACTGTTGGTAAAAGATTCTTATTCTTATCCTCCCCGTCTTGAATCAGGAATGCTGTGATAAGAGCTTTCATCCTAGCCATAGTCAAATTCTTTTATTATAATGTAAATACTTATCCAAATCTTTAAGAACATTTCAAAATTATTGCCTTTGGGATTCAGTTTTCACTTCATCTGTTTCCCCTGAGTGTGTCAAACTGAGTTTGAATTGAGAATGCTAATCCATTGAAGTAAGAGGAACTGGTGCAATGAATGTCATTTAAATTTTTATCAAATTATTGAAAGCAGCTGTGAATCTATTAGCGAAAACTGCCTACATTAGCTATGAGTTTTCCTCTTTCCTAACAGTTTCCACTTGCTATGTTCATTGTCTGCAGTAGATTCACCAGCCTCAGAAGAGACTACCTAAATCTCTGCAGGCCTTCTATTCTGGGCTTGGGTTCCCCCAAAACAGGACCCCAAAGAATATGGAGTACAATTCTCCACTGAAGCCATATGTATGCTTATTCTGCCACATTCTAGAAATAGCTCTTTTCAGGATCTAAGAAGAAAATGTACCTTTGAAGATAAATGCATTGTAGCCATCAATGTAAATATATAAAAGCAGTTTCTGTGAATGCCAAGCTCGGCTGTGTCAGAGAGTGCATCACTGAATACTGTAAAAAATGAGAGTGCTTTTGGTTTGATCAATGGCCCCATAGTTCTCTTCCCATTCTGAGTTCCTTGGGTCTGTTGGTTGCTTAGTAACATTACTGGAAATTGGACTGCTTATACCAATAGTCCTAGACTTACAACCAGAATGGAACCTCCCTAATCATGGCCATAAGTCATGGTGATTGTAAATTGAGTCATCCAAGTGACCAGCCCAATTTTGCAATCTTTTTTTCAGGGCAGGGGTTATATGAACGCTGTGTTGGTTAAACATTTCTTTTGTAAGGAATTCATTTTTATCCACAAAAGTTTTATAATTGGCTCTCCATTTGACATTTAACGGCTGGAAAAGAATCTGGTGGCAATTTTGACACCAGTTCTTGTGGTCCTCTTAACAGCCACTCCAAGCAAAATGAGTGTTCCAGGATGTGGCACAAATCTCCAGATTAAAAGAAGAAGTGGAAAACAAGCATGTTCTCTTAACCTTGCTTTTGTGAATTCAGACTGTCAGCTCTCAGATTAACAGGAGTGTTATTTCCAAAGACCAGCCTGTGAAAGGGACAGAGTAATTCTCACACTTGAGCAATGTTTGCAACATGAAAGTAGATTTGTGTATGGGAATGTTTCTTCTCCCTCTTAACTCAGAATATTCCTGAATTTGTTCCATTAAGAATTTTAAAGCTGACAAGGGTGTTACCTGTACCATTATAATAAATAGACCTCTTATTTCAGTGAACCATAAATGAAGAGTTTGGCGTCCTTACAAAGAATTGTTATCACCAGCCAGGCTATGATTTCCTCATTCTGTCATAGTCTCAGCTATTTTTCCCCTCCCAATGTTTATTGTGTTCCCCCTCCATTTATTATTATTTTAAAACCCTTTGGACATTATCCAGAGACCTCAAAAAAGTTTCTCAAAATAGTACTAAGCATTGAGAAGTGTATTGCAAAATCAAAGTGAAATGTTCTACCACCATGTTCCCTCAACCCTTGGAGATATCTGAGCAAAGAAAATATTAGGTGAATTGCATATTGCTATAATATGAAGAAAATGTTTGTCTTCCTCCACCCTCTCCAATAACCCCTTTTCATTATATAAAAGACAGTTGTCCATTTATATCACGTTACCACGGAGACATGAAACTATGCAGAAGAGTCCAGTTGAAATGTTTCTTTAAAAATAAGATTATTTTTTTTGTCTCTGGCTTCCATTCAGGAGAATGCTATCAGATAAATCCAATAATTGAAGAGTTGTAAACTTGACAAATATTACCGTGTGTAAGAGTTTTGTAAATATGAGATTTGGATTTTTAATGGTATTTATTATTTTTTATTATTTTGGGGCTGGGGGGGGGTGAGAAGAGAGACTCTGTAACTATGTAAAAGAAAATGGGCAATTCATAAAGGACTGATGTTTTCTTTATAAAAAGAAGGAATACAATCTATGAGTAACTCAAAGTGGCTGAATGGTCATTGATTTAGGGCCATTTATGTTTGATTTGGGTGGCATGGGAGGATCTGTCTAAAGCTAAGCTGTCAAGGGATAGCTGTATAGCCTTGGAATTTGTATGGTATATAAACTACATGCTGTGAAGTATTGGTGAAACTTGGATAGTCCTCAAGTGTTAGTTGAGGTGAGGGAGACATCACCAACACCAAAAATTCAAAAGAAGCAGAGATCTCTGTCCATACTCAACTAATTAATGGGAAGTAATATTTAAGACAGGTGAGACAAAGGTATAGAAGGATGGAACACATCCTTTCTAAAATCATCTATAAGATTTTTAGATAGATAGAAAATCCACTATCCACTTCCCATGGTGGAGAACCAAGCAATAATTGGTTTCTTCTCTCACTTTGAAACATGACATTTCAGTAGAAGGATTATGACTCAGCTGCTGGAGGAATTATCTTTCTGAATTCAAAACCAACTGACCTAATGGTTGTGTCATCTTGGGAGTGTGATTTCCACTGAGAAATAATGAATTTACTTCAATTATTTTAAAAGGAATTGGAATACTGTGCCAATATTATAAGCATAAATCTAGAAGGCATGGATTCAGACTTTTCCCTAGGATTCCTTGACGTTTCCACCTATGTTAATTTCTCTGCATTTGGATGAAAGTGGATGAATTTTCATACTTCATCAAAACTTCAAGCCTTAATTGTGCCCCTCTGGGGTTGCAGGAATAGATTTTTCTCACCCGAAGTGTTTTAACTAAAAATGCCAAATGTCTGTAAAATATGGGCTCTTTCACCCCTGCGAAAGGCCAGAAGAAAATAGAAACTTTGGGAAATGGTATTATGAAGCGTGCACAAAGTGCACATTTATCCACTCAAGCTGTGTGAGGCTATGCTGTTTTAAAATAATGTTATGAAAGGAAGGGAATTACAGCCTTCTGTAGATTAATGAGAGGCTTCACCATTGCACACAGTTGGACCATGGATTGGACAGGTGGGCTCTAAAGCTTTGCTGGCTGGGGAATTCTGGGAGTTGAAGTCCACAAGTCTTAAAGTTGCCAAGGTTGGAGTCCCCTGCTCTAAAGGTTTCAGGTCAGCTTTGTGTAATGTTTGGCTTTTGTTTTACCTTCCCTGTTAAAGAACAAGGCTCTGGGTTCCCCATTTTAAAACTACAATGTAGATCAGATACGAAAGGTGAGAGAGAAAAAAAAACCCCAGCAAGCCTGCTACAACAAACCCCACGCTGCTTTTATTATTAATTTTTCCCTGCGAGCAGGTCTTTACACATTTCAGAGTTGGCTCTGTAGAAAGGAAATCCATGCCCAGGCATGGTACCCCGTCTCCCTTTGCGAACGTGGGTGTTATAGTTTGCAGACGATTCAGAGATGAAAAACTTCTCCCTGGCAGGAGGAAAAAAGTGAAAGATACATGAAATTAATCTCATGCAGCATCTGCTATGTGGGAACTATCCTATGCATGTAAAATTAACATCATCAGTAGTTGTAAGGAGTAGGGTTTGCTCTCAGTTTATACTCTAGTGCTGTGATGGTGAGCCTACGGCACATGTGCCAGAAGTGGCACACTTCAAGAGCCATCTTCGCCGGCATGCAAGCCGTCGCCCCAGAGCAGGTCCACTACGCAGGCGTGTGCACCACCCACCCCACCAGTTGATAGGTAGCTGCCGCGCATGTGTGTGGGCGGGGCGCATGCAGGAAACGTGCGTGCATGTGCAGAGATGCTCAGTCCACTTGGGGGGAGTCACGCACACGTGCAGGGGGCATGGGAGGCCCCATGCGCATTGCCTTATGGGTGCTGGCACATGCACTTTTGGCACACGAGGACAGAAAGGTTAGCCATCACTGCTCTAGCCCTGTACAGTGTTGGTGGGTCTTGGAAATTCTTCGGTTGGGCTGTTTACTGTTTAGCTTGTTTGGCAGTTCCTTGATTGGGGTATTGTTTACTTCTTGGTTGTTGGTCTGATATTAATCTTGAAATTAATCTATGCTCACCTGGGTGCTGATTGCTGGTGGGGAGGAGTTTTGGTTTTATTCATTTATTTATACACTTCCCAACCAAAGAACCTCCAAGATCACCCTCACTACCCTAACATAATATAAACTATGAGCCACTCCTTATTATCCCACTCCTTATTAGCACTGATGTGGTTACCTAGTTTGGATGAGGTCTGCAAGAAAACCACCAAGCTCAGAAAGCACCAAGTACCCTTCATTAGCCATTTAGCTTAGAATTTTATGGGTTTTTTTTGGGGGGGAGGGGGGATACTGTATACTTGAAATTTACATCATGATGTAAATTTATAACAAAATCAGGTGGTTTAGCGTCTGAATCTGTTTTGAAGCTTGATATGCGGTGATCTTTACATGTGCTAGACCTTGTTTAATTCTCTGGCACTTGGAATAAACATTGCATGCTTCAACTGATCTATGGCTACAAGTCAGGAACAGCAATTGCTGTTCACATGCTCACAGTGGAAAGGTCATGATTACTTAGGAGGTTACTTTTAAAGCAAACTAAAACAGAACTCATAACAATGTCTAAGATGATTTATAGTTTTGAGCTCCATAGCATCTTGGCTTAAAATGTATATCTAGTTTACCTGTAAGAGGCTGGTTGCTTTGCAAGCTGCAGACACATAGTCATGGGGCCCAAAGTAAGTCTAGCAAGAATGTCAACATTTGTGCTCAGTTCTATGTCTGATTGGCTTTTAAGTGTGGCTTGGAAGAAGGAAGTATCCAATTCTGCTTGGAAATCAACAATCAGCGCACCTCTGTATTGTGGAGAAAAAGAACAGGTCAGTGTTGACACCAGTGGGACATATATTTTGGGGGGGAAATTTCCTTTCTACTCTACAGAAATGTAAGAAGATTTCTGCTGGATCAGAGTAAATATTAATGTGGTATTTCCCATAAGGGGGCAGCATGATGGCTCAGTGGTTAAGACACTGGGCTTGTCATTCTGGAAAGCTGGCAGCCGAGGTTTGAGACCCGAGCTACCATGGGAAAAGGTGAGCTCCCGTTTTCACCCCAGCTCCTGCCTACTTAGCCGTTCAAAAGCATATAAAGGCAAGTAGATAAATAGGTACCACTTCAGCGAGAAAGTAACAGTGTTCCATGGTGCCATCCTATTACATGACCACGGAAATGTCTTCAGGCAGTGCAGGCTCAATGGCCCTGAAAGGGAAATGAGCACTGCCCTCTATAGTCAGCAATGACTAGCAGAGTAAAATCCGCAGGGACTCCTTTTACTTTTTAATTTCCCATAATGGCCAGATGGAGATCACCAAGCAGAACACGAGGGCGTCGGTCTTCTCTTATTGTTACCCAGCAACTGATATCCAGAGATACGGTGTCTCTGACCTGGCCAGTCCCATAAGGCCATCTTCCATATTTACTGTTGCAACAAGATTTGCTTGTATGATACAAATTATATAAATTGGATCGATTTGAATATAAATCTGGAGAAGAAGCAGTTAAAAAAACAAAAACAAAAAAAAGTGGGCCTCATAGCTGGCTACGTTGTTACAATGGTAAATTTTCCTTGGCATGACATTAAATACTCTGTACATTTCCCCATTTGTTGGACAAAGGTTCCCCAGATTCCCATACAAACATGGTGTCGACTTCTAATCAAACCTGGCAGAAGCCATTTTTCTATTCCTCAGTTGCCACACAGAGGGGGGGGGAGGAGAATGAAATGCGCGGCTAGACAAAACACAGAGCTTTCTTGTGGGAACCAAGGTCATCACTACAGGTGATGGATAGAGCTGGGAAGGAGTGCCTGGAGAGCCTGCCAATTAATCTAATTGGCCAACGTGACCTGTGACTTTGCGGGGGGGGGGGGAAGATTTCCTATTTTGATGATACTGAAACCGTGGGAAATATTTAGAGTTGGTTTTGCATTTGATTGTGCCGATATGATGTATCCAATAAAGGAGTCATTGGAGGAAGAGTTCTGATTTGCTTGGGTTCGTTAGTCAGAATCATGACACAGGATTCTTCAGCAGGAATTCTCAGAGCACTGGCGTATGTCATCCGAAGGGCACCATATTGGCAAAAACTTCCATGATAAATAATAAGGATATCTCAGCAGTGGCCAGCCATTTGAGCAACTGTTATCAATGACTATGTAACAAGTATAACCAATGAACTAAAGGAAAATATCCCTCCTTTAAGTTTTCATAAGTGGACACAGTATAAAGGCTTGGTTACATGAAGTTTGTCAAATAACTTTCATGAACTTTGCTCAATAAATTGTTTCAACTCCTCCCCACATGTACTAGACATTGCAACAGAGCTTTGCATGCCAAAACAACTAGACACAGAGACAGTTTTTTCCTCATGCCATCACTCTACTGAACACTTTATTCCCATGGTCTTACGTCTAAGTATATTCACCTATCTAGGATAGCTGTATTGCTTTTATCCTTCTCATCTGTTCCACTACCTTCTCTTTTGATATCACTGTTATCATTATTATGCTTATTATTACTTTGTTGTTTTGCATGTACACTGAGAGCTTCTGTACCAGAAACATGTTCCTTGTATGTCCGATCACACTTGGCCAGATGACTTTTCTATTCCATTCCATTCTCACTGTTTAGAGGTGAAATTGGTACCTATTCACATACCTTGATTTAATACTTGTATTGAATTTCTGCTCCCACATATCCATGTTGAGATCAGCTGAAATATCTAAGCCCAGTCCAACTTGAAGAGTAATCACAGCTTGCAACCCGGATTGAAGTGGAACTGCCTGGAGCAATAACATTCTGTTACTGTTGCCTTGGACATAGTGCAATCACTAAAGATACACAGCTGTTCCAAAATAAATATATGTTCAATGGGTCTTACTTCCAAGTTACAGATATAATTTTTTTTGAAAATGGTCTATTCTTAATGACGTAAAATTTTTAGAGTTGTCATAAATATCTTATAGGACTAATACCTCTTGATGATCCACCAACAGCAGGTTCCCTTTGACCACGTTCATAGGCTTTCCTGGGCTCATAAGCATTTTTGACATTAGTTCTGGATATCCATCAAAGAAGGTCACTGGCCGTAATGGGACGTCAAGCAAACTGGCAGACATGCCAGCTGTAAAGTCCTGTTCCTCAGTTGCATCTTCCTCCAACATTCCTTCAAGCCCTTTTGCTTCAACAACCACCTGCAGGATGCACAGAAAAATAAAGTGTGATGCACAGGTTTTTTCCCTATTTATATTTTGGTGTGCTTTTAAAGGTTGTGTAATCTCTGTTTCCAAATTTCTACCCATTTAGGTCTGCTGATGCCTGCTAACTTTTCCCTGCTAGCAGTGAAACTACTGGTGAGTGAAGCACGCGAAAGACTTTGGTAGAAAACAAGGATGTCTTTCTTCAAGGAGCTTTTGTCTAGGTCAGGTGTCTCCAAACTTGTAGATCTATAGACTTGTGGATTTTAAGACTTGTGGACTTCAACAGACAGAATTCCCCAGCTAGCTGGCTGAGGAAATCTGGATGTTGAAGTCCACAAGTCTTCAAGTTGCCAAATTTGGAGAACCCTGGTCTAGACATATTGGATTTCAATTCCCATCATCATCTAGAACTACTCACCATGGTGGGTAGAGTTCATAAAAACAGGAGCCCAAAATATTTAGAAGGCTCCAAAATAAGGAAGTTAACCCTAGACAAGTGCCAGATCAGGAATACAAACATTGCCACTAAATTATGATATTTAATATGATCAAAAAGGCACATTGTTCCGGTCTACTTCTATCTCTGATCTACTTCTATTCCTCAGTTGCCACACAGAGTGGGGAGGGGGGGGGAAGGAGAATGAAAGGCGCAACTAGACAAAACACAGAGCTTTCTTGTGGGAACCAAGGTCATCTCTACAGGTGATAGATGGAGCCAGGAAGGAGTGCCTGGAGAGCCTGTCAATTAATCTAATTGGCCAATGTGACTTGTGACTTTTGGAAAGGGAGTTATTTCCTATTTTAATAATACTGAAACTGCAGGAAATATTTAGAATTGGTTTTGCATTTCTAGATTCTAGATTTCATAGATTCTAGATTTCATAGATTCTAGATTTCATAGATTCTAGATCTATGCACCACTCAGAACAATGTAAATTGGCTTGAAAAAAGACTCTGCCTCACTGTTCCACAGCTAGTGAAGCACTTTAAAATGCAATTAATTGTGATTAAAAATAATAACATAATTTTAAAGCTACTTGGATGATATCTGGGCAATCAATTGCCTGGTTCCTAGTTACCCAGCATGGACAATCATTCAGGGCATTCTGAGAAATCTTGAAATGACTTTATGGGGTAGGAATATATCCTGTAGAAATTTAATAGGAGACTTAATTAGCTGCCAGAAGGTGATGGGTAGCTAGCAGAAATCTTCAGAATTGTCTTGAATAGTAGAAGAGACTTCGATCAACTGCATAAACCATCAGACCTGAGCTGCTTGGAGCCGGTGGCCATGACTTTCAATATCAAAATTAGTGGTGCTCTTTTGAAGTAAACCAAGATCTGAGAACAAGAGTTCCACACCAAAAGTAGAAGATGCATCTTCAGTGGCTAAAGGGGAGGAAAGGAGACAATAATGAATAAGAAGGCTGCTGTGAGGCCTTGTACAGCAAATAACAACTCCATCCCTTTTTCAAAAGCTTTCCTAAAGGGAGAACTACATGGGACGTATATATTGTAGAGTGGGGGGGGGACACATTTTTGACACCAGTGGCCATTCTTTTACTATTTTAGATGCCTGCAAAATAGGAGTAATGTGGAAAATGGCACCATGATGTCACATAGTGAGTGGATTTTTTTTTTTAAAAAAAAAGAATATTTGTAGATTGATGTATCTTTTAGAAGTTCAATCTCTCTAGAATGGGTGAAGGATTGATGGGAGTAGTGAAATTTGACAAAAAGGGAGCAGGGTATGTACAACCCATGGCAGAGTGTTTTACTAGAGGCACTGAAGCCCTACAGCTGAGTGATGAATGCTGGCATATGAATCAGAGGTGGTATTCAGCAGGTTCTGACCAGTTCTGGAGAACCGGTAGCAGAAATTTTGAGTAGTTCAAAGAACCGACAAATGCCACCTCTGACTGGAGATTTTACAGTATCCTTCCCCTGCCATGCCCACCAAGCCACGCCAACAGAAGCAGTAGTAAAAAAAATTGAATCCCACTACTGCCCTTCCCCATCTATTCTCTACCTCCCGAGTCCCAGCTGATCGGCTGGGTCTTCTTTTGTTGCCCTGCACAGGAGAACGGAGCCGGAAAGCAGGTTAGTGGGGTGGTGGGGGGAATGGGGATTTTGCAGTAACCTTCCCCTGCCAGGCCCACCAAGCCATACCACGCCCACCAGGCCACGCTCACAGAACTGGTGGAAAAACTTTTGAATCCCACCACTGATGTGAATCGATCTCAAGTACAATATCGCAGTCTCTCACTTTGGAAGTGATTTTGCATAAAATTACTATTTGGGATTTTTGAATAGTGAAATCTAGTGAGAGGGGGGCTGCTTTTGTTGTAAATGTAAAATGTATTTGCTGTGGTTATTTTATTCCATAATAACCATAGCAGTACATTCATAAGGGTAACATTTCCTATGACCCTTGTTTTCTGAAGATGGACTACTATTTGTGATTAGGGCATGTAGCACATTCATTGAGAGAGAAAGGCACACACACATACACACACACAGAGAGAGAGAGAGAGAGAGAGAAACATGATAGAAAGATGATGGAGATAGAGATAAATAAATACATAGAGATACTAGATAGATGATGATGATGAATGTTAGGGATAACATTGTTTACCCTAACTGGTTTGGGTAAAAATAATAAATATGGTATCATGGTTTGTTAGTTAAAGTGTGTGTAACTTTAACAGCAAGAATGTAATTAAGGGTGTGGTTGTAAAAGCACTATATAAGAAGCGAGGCAATTGCTGCTCTCTCTCTCTGGCTTACTGATCCCTAATTACTGGATGGATTGATGACTGCGTTCTTGCTGGAACGGGGAGAGAAAAAGGAGTGTTGATTTTCCTCAACGGAGAGAAGATAAAGATTGGACTGATTTATTGTAAGTATACTGACATTGGCTATTCAACACGGACTTTGCAAATAGAGTATCCCCGACAAGACTTGACTGAAATTGATATATGACTAATGGACCATTTATTTTGACTATGCTATAATTCTTAAATGGAATAAACTATATTTTTGATAGCACAAGCGTATCTGTATTTTTACTGCGTGTTAACTAGAAAACTTATCTCACACATTTACCTGTCTTCCTATCTGACTTCGCTGCACGTTCTGTTTAGTTTGTTTTCCTTAACACCCGTTGGGGAATCCAGGCTTAACACTGGTTATGGGCCCAGAGAGACTGCAAAGTCAGTTTAACTAGGATAAAAACAGGTTTATGT